CAGAAGATCTTCCTTTTTGTATCTTCTCCTCTCTGTGTATCTGACTATCCAATAAAAATAATTAAGTCTTTTTTTTTAAAGAAGCATGTACCAAACCCTCAATGAGCTTCCACATATATCTACCCCAAGCCAGAGAAATTGCTAGGGGCACCAAATAGGGCCCCAAACTCCCATGACCGGGTAGTGCAGACCTGCTCGGACACCCCAAAAGAGGCCCTTAAGGTGCCTCTCCCTAGGCTCTGCCAAGGAGAGCCCTTGTTAGGGACCATAAATGAAGGCCTGTCCCGTCCAGCAGGACAGTCAACGGGGGTCGCAACCACCTAGGAGAGATTGGGGGACAAGAGACACGAAGAATGGACAGCAAGACAGGATGTCTGATCAAGCTGTCGGTTTATTGATTTTAGTTGAGGGGTTTTATATTCTTCAGTAGCTAAGGCTCAGGGAGGAAAGGAGAAGCTAGGATGCAAGCCATGGTCTCCAGACCAATTGTTCTTGAGCAGCCACCATATCCACAATAGTAACCAGCATATCAACAATAGCATAGGTAATCAGTAACAAGATGTCGGCAGGTACAGCATAAATCACATTCTAAAACAGTTGCTACAAACAATTGAAGCTAAGCGTGTGATTAGCTTCATAACTTCTTTCCCAAGCATCTAGCCAGCCGGGGTTTTCCACTGGCCCATAGTTCTATATTCAAAATGGCTTCAGTGTGGCTACAGTACACGGCTCCTGACAAAGGCCCTGAACTTCCTCAGCTGTCCTAGGGGAAGGCCTGCTTTAGCACCCACCCAGGGCCCTATGCAGACCTCACACCAGGCTGTGCCAAGGGGAGCAGTTAGTATGGGCCCCCCCAAAGGGCTCCAAACTCCTCCAGCTTGGTAGAGGCAAGTCTGCCACGGTACCCCAACATTGGCCTAAAGATGTGTTTGGCCAAGTGGAGGAATAGCAAATTCAAAAAAGGGCCCCAAACTTACCCCTCTGTGCTAGCAACAGGCCTGCTTCAGCACCCAGAGGAGCCCTAGGCAGGCCTTATACCAGGCCAGGTCCACAGGAGAAATTGCTAGGAGTGTCTGCAAGAAGGCCCCAGAATCTGTTGGCCAGCATGGGATTGGCATATCTGTGCACCACCAGAAAAGACACTACGTGGGCTTCATACCAGGCCAGTCTGAGTGGAGGAATAGCTTGGGCAAAAATAGAGGTCCCCAAATGCTCATGGTCAGGTTGGGGTAGGCCTGCCTGGGCACCCAAAGTAGGGCCCACATGGTACTCACCCCAGGTCAGACAGGGGAGGAATTGCTAGGAGCCCCAAAAGAGAGCCCAAACTGTCCTAACTGCTAGGGGCAGGCCCACTTGTACACCTAAGGGCCCTAAATATGCATCCCCCTAGGACAGGTTGAGGGGAGGAATTTCTAGATGTATTACAAAAGGACCCCAGACCCTCCCAGCTGTTCTAGGGACAGGCCTGTCTCTGCACCCCAAAAGGGGCCTTAAAATGAGTCTTACCCTAGGCCTTGCCAAGGGCAGATATTGCTAAGGGCCCTGTAAATGTGCCCCAAACTCTCCTGGCTATACTAGGGGTAGACCTGCCTGGGTACCCCAAATGAGCCTTAAGCTGGGATTATCTGGCATGGCTGAGGTGAGGAACTGCTAGGGGGCTCTGCAAGTAGGCCTGAAACTCCCTTGGCCAGCCTGGGACAGGTTTGCCTGGGCACCCTGAAAGTGGACTTAGGCAGGGCTCATCCCAGTCCAGGCCGGGGGAAGGAATTGCTAGGTGGCCCTGCAAGTGGGCCCTAAACTCCCTTGACCAGCATTAGACAGGCCTGGTTTGGCATTCAAACAGCCCCAAAGGGCCTCTCTCCAGGCCAGGCCGGGGGAAGGAATTGCTAGCAGCCCAAAAAGAGGACCCCAAACCTCTCCAGCTGTGCTAGAGGCAGACCTGCTTGGGCACCCCAAACAGGGTCTTAGGTAGGTCCCTTCTCCTGCCAGGCAGAGAGAAGCAATTTCTAGGAGCCCTACAAGAGGGACCCAAACTCTCCCTTGACCAGCCTGGGACAGGTCTGCCTGGGCACTCCAAAAATGTGGTGTAAAGGAGCCTCTCTTCAGACCAGCCCAAGAGCAGGATGGCTTGGGGCTCCGAAACAGGGCACCAAGCTCCCCTGGCTGTGTAAGGCACAGGCCTACCTGGGTACCCACAAAGGGTCTCTAAAGGGGCATTCCCGCAGGCCTTGTTGAGGAGAGGATTTGCCAGGAACTCAAAAATGGACTCCAAACTCCTCTAGCTGTCCTGCTGACCCTAGCTGATTCTAGCTGATCTGCTTGTACCCCCACACCGTATCCCTAAGTGGGCCTCATCCAGGCTTGTGCTGACGAGGGAAATTGTCAGTGACACCAAAAGAGGGATCCTTACTCCCTCGGTCAGCATGGGACACTCCTGCCTGGGCATCCAAAAAGGTGGACCTCTCTCCAGGACAAGCCGAGGGAAGGAACTGCTATTGGGGCCTTATGTTAGGGCCCGAACTCTCAGGGCTGGGTTGATGATGGTCCTTCCTCTGCTTCCTAGGAGGGGCCCTAAGCTGAACAGCTCCCTAGTCTGGGCCAAGTGGAGGTATTGCTAGGGACGTCAGGAAAGGGCCCTACACTCGAATAATTCAGATGGGATTGACCTGACTGGGCATCCACACAGGAGCCCTAAAGGTGATCAGCCGTAGTTCGGGTCCAAGGGAAGAAGTGCTAGGGGCACTACGAAGGGGTTCAGACTCACAGTTGTACTGGGGCAGGCCCTCCTTTGTACCCGCGCAGGCTCACTAAGGTGGGCATTCCCATGCTGGACAAACTAGAGGAACTTCTAGGAGCCCCATGTGTGGGCTGCAATTCCCACAGCTGATCTTACAGCACTCACCAACGTGCCCCAAATTTGACTACTCCCCAGGTCTAACCCTAACCCCATTCGTGGGCCCCCAGGTTGACCCATTCCCTAGGCTGGGCCTGGTGGATGTGTGATTAGAGAGCCCACATGAAGTCCCTAAAATGCCTCTTCCACACTGTTGCAAGCAGGGCTGGGTCCTGCTGGATTTGCCAACACACAGGGGCCAGCCCAAACTCTTGTTTTAACCTGAGGACAGGCCAGCCTGTTGTTCCACACACCGACCCTAAGGCTGGCAGCTCTTGTGACTGGACTGAGGGCAGGCAGTACTGGTGGCAAGCAGGCCTGGGGTCCACACTTGGGCCCTTGTGACGGCCACTTCAGAGAGTACACAGTGGGCAGGCAGGGCTGTGGACATGTGGGCTGGGCCCCTACACATGGCCCCTAAGGCGAGCTGCTCCTGCTGCTGGGTTGGCATAGGCTGCCCTGGGGTTCCACACCAGCACATGCATGGCCTCTAGGGCAGGTTACTCCCAGGCAGGGTGGAAGCAAGCCTGGGACCCCAGGCATGGACCTAAGGCAGGCCACTCCTGTAGTCTATGCTGGCACATCAGGTGCTTCACTGCAGGGTCCCAAAGCAGGATATTCCCAGAGGAATGCAGTGCCAGGCTGGGAGCAGGCAGTTCTGGAGCCCCTCCATTGGATTCTAAAACAGGTAACAACCAAGGCCTGCCACCACGTGCTGTTGGGAGCGGGCTGCTAGAATCCCCACTGCAGGGATCCTATGGGTCTGCTCTTGTGGCCTCCCACATTGCTGGGCTCAGAGCAGGCATCCCAGGGGCCCCAGGTGGGGTCCAGCATGCCATTACACTAGTCCAGAGACCTGAGGCCAGAGTGACCCAACTGATGCCTTTGGTAGCCCAAGTCTCTGACACATTCTAGGAAGACTGGGGCACGATACTGCATCCATCATGGAACACAGGCCAGGAGCCTGTGGGCTCTGGGTAGTCCATACCTGTGGCATGCTGCCACACTAGGCCACGAGTGTAGCATTGCTAGCATCATGGGGGCAATCAAAATAAATCTGCTTCATTATGTATTCATGAATATATTACATTCATAAGTGTGTTTTTGACATACTAATGAAGTATATATTTCATTGTTGCCAGCAGCTAACAATGGCATTAAAAGGGCTATATTAAGAGGACTGTCCACACATTTAAAATATCGTGTATGGTCTCCATTGATTCAAGCTAACACCATGAGAGAGAATAATTATATCTTCACATTAGCTGGAGATCTATGAGAGAGTAAAAGACGGTGCATCTGTCTTTTTATTTTAAAAAGATTTTATTTATTTTTATTGGAAAGTCAGATTACCGAGAAGAGGAAGGACAGAGAAGGGGATTTCTGTCTGCTGATTTACTCCTCCAGTGATTGCAATGGAAGGAACTGAGCCAATCCAAAGCCAGGAGCCAGGAGATTCTTTCAGGTCTCCTATGCCGGTGGCTTTGGGCTGTCCTCAACAGCTTTCCCAGGCCACAGGCAGGGAGCTGCACTCGCTTGGGGGACCAAGAAAACCTCCTGGTTCATTTTGGCTATTTGGAGAGTGAAAGAGTGAATAGAAACGTCTATCTCCACCATCCATATTCCAATCTGCTTTGCAAAAAATCAATCAATCAATCAAGCTGTTTTTTTTTTTTTGCCCACAATAGGTGGAGCAGCTCGGATGTCCATCAAGATACCCAGGGGAGGTGGTGCTGGTGGAGGTGAGGGGGAGCCCTCCTCTCCAGAAGCATCACCTCTGCCCCCTGGGGCCCTCCATGGTCCTCCTTGCTGGGGAAGCACTTGCATCTCCTCCCTCGCGCCCCCAGGCCCCAGCGCTGCAAGGAGCCCCAGGCCCCGTCCAGCAGAACTCACCCTGGCGAGGAGGGCAGGCATAGCCGCCATGGGTCCAGGAGGAGGAAGAAAAGGGTCCCCGACGGCGGAGGAATCCTGCGTGGTGCTGACGCGGAGGGATTGGCCGCACGGTCACTTCCTGTGAGGTGCTGCGGCCCCGCACCCTCAGTCAGTGAAGAAGCAGCAGAGGAAGAGGACGCATGGCTGGACTCCCCGTGGGGAGCAGTTCTGCTGAAAGACGCGCCGCGGGCCCCGTGAGTGGACGTGACAGGGCTCATGGACTCCGGCTAGCCCTCGTCCCACCCGCTGTCCACCTGCACCCCGCCGGGGGAGGGCCTCGCGGTGGGCGCCATGGTGGACGTGGGCCCGGCGTGCACGAGGTGGAGTTGGTGCCGCCCCCAGAGTGCCTGGTCTTTGGGCGTCGCTGGAGGAGTCCACAGACCCAAAGGGACATCTACAAGGTAAGACCCCCCGAGGTACAGGGGTGCGGGAAGGGGAGGGGGCGGCTTGGCCCTAGTGTGTGTCCAGGAGTGCAGGTGGTGCCTTGTCCTTGGGTGCGGGTCCAGCTGGGGAGGGGGCGGCTTGTCCGTGGGTGCGGGTCCAGCTGGGGAGGGGGCGGCTTGTCCTTGGGTGCGGGTCCAGCTGGGGAGGGGGCGGCTTGGCCTTGGGTGCGGGTCCAGCTGGGGAGGGGGCGGCTTGGCCTTCAGCAGGCGTGCAGGGGGAGGTGGCCGCTTGCCTTGGTGCGGCGTTTAGGAGGGTGGGCCGCGGCTTACCCTGAGTGTGGGTTCCTGGAGGCCAGGCGGCGAGGTGTTGGAAGGTTAGGCAGCGGCTTAGCCATCAGCACTGTGTCCATCCAGGTGGGGAGGCGGTGGTTTGCTTTTGGTGCGTGGTCCAGGAAGGCTGGTCTCGGTTTGGCCCTGGGTGCGGAGTCCGGGACGGCTGGCTTCTGTTTGGCCTTGGGTACGGGGGTCCAGGAGGGCTGGCCTCGGCTTGGCCCTCGGCGTGTGGTACGGGAAGGCCTCCAGCGGAGTGGTCATTGGCACGGGGTCCTTGAGGGCAGGTGGTATCTTGGTCCTTGGCGGTGTCTGTGAGCGCAGGCCTCACCTTGGGCCTCCATTGGGGTCGTTAAGGGCAGCTGGCGGCTTGCCATGTTCTTGAGGGCTCAAGGGTAAGCAGTAGCTTGGCCATCGCAGGGGTGCAGGAGGGGAGGTGGCCGGTGTCTTACCACTCAGTTTGGGTTGCAGGAGGCGAGGTTGGGGCTTGGCCATCTGCACGGGGTCTAGGGGGTCTAGGAGGGTAGGAGGTGCTTGTCCTGCACCTAGGGCTTTTCCCAAGGTGCTGAGTCCAGGAGGCAGGTGGCGGCTTGGTCCTCTGTTTGGGATGGGGAAGTGCAGGTGGTGGCTTTGCCCTGGGCCTGGGAGCCACGAGGCGAGGCCGTGTCTTGACCCTTTGTGCTTTGTTTGGGAGAGCTGGTGGCAGCTTGGTCCATTGACGTGGTCCATGAAAGGCATGAAGTAGCTTGGCCCTAGGCACGGGTTCCAGGAGACAGGTGGCGGCTTGGTGCTCTGTTTGGGATGGGGAAGTGCAGGTGGTGGCTTTGCCCTGGGCCTGGGAGCCACGAGGGCAGGCCATGTCTTGGGCCTTTGTGTTGTCTGGGAAGGCTGGAGTCCTTGGTGCAGGGATGAGAGGAAAGCCTGATGCCTGGCACTCAGTGTGGTCTCTGGGTATAGTGGGCACAGGTGCCTCGATTCACGCTGTCCTGCAAGGCCTGCTCCACTTCTGTCCTCGGGGCTGGTGGTCTTCCTTCCTTCTTTCCTTCCGTCCGTCCATCCGTCTTTCATTCCTCTCGTAATGCTGGTACGTGTTGGTGGGGTACAGGGTGGTGTTTGTATGCAGCGCGAGCTGGTGGACGCGCTGGCCTGTCCCCCCAGGCCAGGCTTCGGTGGAAGGCTGAGCTGCAGCTTTTCCCCTCAGGATGGTGTCTGCCCCACCGCTGCCACCCGAAGGATTCTTCCCTGGGACGAGAAAAGGAGCCCCAGTGTTAAAGTTTTATCTATCTATGAGTTTATTATAGTTTAGGAAGTGTTATTCAAACATGAAATGAAAAAACACATCATTGAATTCCTTGTATAAGAAACAGAGGGTGGCAGGTTTCAGAATTGCAATGATTGCAGAGTAACTGGGTTTTTCAAAGTTAATTGTAGTTGTAAACTTTTTTACACATGTCCCTAATTAAGGTAAGGGAATTAGATTCTTTTACTCCTTGTCGGGTGGTGGTTAATGGTCAACAAGGTTGAGTGACTTGCTCAAGGTCAAAAGTGTTTTTCTTGCCCCTGGTACCGGTGCTTTCAAATGATGCTGCTGTACCAGGGAAGGCTCATTCAAGTTCAGACCCCCTAGGCCTCTGTAAAGGAGTGCAGTCAGCTTCTGGTTGTGGGAATTTGGGAATCTTTTCTAGCCAGTACCCTGCATTAGCAGAGTCCAAGACAGGCAGAGAGAGGACAGGTAGGAGCTGGTTTAGCACCTCTGTGGGATTTCGGTTCCTATTTGCTGAGTTTGACTTGCAAAGGATGAGCAAGTCTGTGAGGACCTGGTTGGCATGCTCTTAGGAGCCATCCCTTGACTCTTCCTCTCCAGATCAGCTCCTGTGGACCAGGTGTGAAGCGCTGAGGTTTTTCCTAAACTGTAGTTTCATCTGTGTTGCGTTTATCCAGTTAGAGGTTCACTTCAGTGCTCTTCAGTTACATATTTTTATTGTTTTGAAAAGACCAATGGTACGCTTTTAGTGACATTACTCAAAATAAGTGAACTTTAGTCTGGCTGTTTCTTCAATATCCAAGGTGGGATGCAGTTTCTGACTGCTACGTCTGCGGTTAAATGTAGGCCACATCAAACTGTTGTGGAGTGCAGCCAGTGATGGCTCCTTCACCTCTCCGGTATCCTCTTCCCCCCACGTCCTGATTCGACCAGGAGGTTGGACGCAGATGGGTCCAATTAGTCTTTTTAGCTACAAGCCCAGCTTCTGTTCCATCCCAATGAGTGCTAGTTAACTCCTTAACCCACCACAGGTAGGTATTCGCTCCTGCCCACCTGTGACTCATGTATCAACTGAGCGGGGACAGTATTGCATGGTTGTGTAACCACTCCCCTCACAAGCCCCTTTAAAAGGCCCGTGAAGCGGGGGCTCACTCCCTCTCTTTCTGGTCAGGTGCTCCCGTTACTCTGGCACCTGGACTCGGCTGACCCAGGATAGGTAATCCCGAGCATGGTCCCTGTGTACTTCTTTGATTGGGCTTGTGATCTGTTCTGTAGAACTCTATTTGAAATATACTTCATTTTTATGCCACAATCTGGAAATGGTTTTGTGGATTTTGTTTTTTAAGATTTGGATGCCTAGAAGCTGGATTTTGAACATTGGTTTAATATAGACCGTGAAGTACCCTATATAACACACAAATGAACATGTTGCTTATAATTCCCTAAATTTTTCATCTTTAGTTTTACCCTTTTGTCTGTTCCCACTCCTCACCCATTTTCCCGTTTAAATTTGATATACTTAGCGTGTGACTGGAGGTTGTTCTGTGGTACGTGGACTCGTGGCATCCCAGTTGAGGAACTTGGAAAAGCATAATTGTGCTGTGCGGATAGTGGGACTGGAGAGGTTTATGCAGAATTGTTTCTTTAATATTTTTAAGTAAAATAATCCTGAAATACTACTCTTTGTCTTGCCAAAGTAAACATTTCTAAGTTAATTTGTTGGCACCATGACTTGTGGGAACTCATTCTAAGGGAATGACAACACCACTATGTTTTAAAATATTTGTTTTCAGGAAAGTGGGTAACTATTATTTTTTCCTTACTGTTTCCTTCATGTTTAAAGGGGGGTGTTAAGGGAGAAGGCTTGTGTGAAGTGTAGCATGGTTTATGTAATGTATAGAAGAGTATTTTATTCCCTTATTGAAAGCGCCTGACCTTATATGGCCTTTGTAAAGATGCTGGGCGGGGTTAAGTGGTGTCCTGTTGTTTAAGTCTCACAGGAGCATGATCAGTTCTTAGTGGAGGCTGCAGTCCACACTGTTGAGGCTTGGAGTTGGCTCTCCCCTTGTCCAGGTAGCTTTGCTGCAGTGCTGGCTGGCTTGGCAGGACGTCCCCAGGCAAGTGGCCACCTAAGTCAGTTGTTGTCACAGCAGAGTAGATGGGCTTGCTTTGTGAGTGCTCCCACCCCACCTACTAACCTTCAAAGTAAAGGGCACTAGAGCAAGCCCTGGGGCCGCCATTACCCAGCCTTGTCCAGTTTGCAGTGTTGAACTTTTAAACAACCTTTCATGAACACTTCCTGCATGGTTGAGAAGCTGTGAAGCAGTGTTGTTTACTGCCATGGTGCTTTCCTCTGGTCAGTTTCTTCTTGTAAGCAAAACCTCTTCTTTAAGTGTTTATTGTTTCCTTAACAATAGTTCTAAGGCCACTTGCTTTGCTTGACAGAAAATGTGTTAAATTAATAGATCTTCAGTAAATCCTTCATCTCCTTCATTTTCTGTGTGTTTCCTTTTTGTGAAAGAAATTTTATGGGGGATTATTTGTAGCAGTGTTCTGGAGTTCTTTGGGGAGCAAAAACTGAAGCAAGGTGATTTAAAGAAAAATCTCACCTTGCTCATTAAAGGATTTACTGGCACGAACTCACGAACTCAATTCTTTGCGGTAGTATCTGTATTATTTCCTCAACGACTTACCTTTTGTCCTTTTGCTAGGGGACGGGAGAAGGCAGATCAGGTGCACAGGACTTACAGAGACTTACATTTGGTTCACTTACTGTTGGGGCCCAGATGGCCCCAACAGCCAGAGCTGCGCCGATCTGAAGCCAGGAGCCAGGAGCCTCTTCCAGGTCTCCCATGCAGGCGCAGTGTCCCAAGGCTTTAGACTGTCCTCCACCACTTTCCCAGACCACAAGCAGGGAGCTGGATGGGAAGCGGGGCTACCAGGATTAGAACCAGTGGCCATGTGGGATCCTGGTACTTGTAAGGTGAGGACTTGATCTGCTAGGCCTACGGCACTGGGCCCAAAGCAAATGTTTAAAACACTATATTTATTGGAAAGGTAGAGAGAGAGGCAGCCATCTAGATGATCCACTGGTTCAGTTCCCTCTATGTCTGCAGCAACCAGGGCTGGAGCAGCGAGCAGCCAGCACTCCAAATACTTGAGCTACCAGCTCCTTCCTCCCAGGAGGTTAAACCCAGACACCTCATGGGATTCAGGTTTCCAAACACTGTGGCTACACTGAGCAAATGCCTGCCCAGGAGTGAAAGAGGAATGTTTGTTTTTAAAGGAGTTTTATTACTTGAGAAGGAGAGCAACACAGTAAATAAATGACAGGAAGAGGAACCTTCCATCCACTGATTTATTCCCAAATGGCTGTTAAAGCTGGGTCAGGTTGAAGCCAGGAGCCAGGAACTCCAGCGGGATC